CATGCTGTAACTGTAGGGCTAATACAATACGTCCCATATGAACAGCATATGTGAATAATATGTAGACCTATTGTTTAAATCGAATTTATGCTTTAAAAGTAGAGTAACTTAATCATAACAGTTTTCACCCATAGTATGTCCATTTAAACGTCTGCGTTTAGCTTCAAATGGCGTCTTTGACGACAGTATTCTATAAAAATTATTTGCATTCCGATCTTGACATCAAAAGGCACAAAAATATTTTTTTTCTTTTATTCCATGGATTTTACCCATTTACCTCCACTTGTTCCCAGTGTTTTTCTGCAACCACTATGCGCGTGCAGCTGCAAGTGACGTAACTGTGACGTCTAAATTGTTCTATAATGTTACAAACTGGTTCCCCACAAAATAACCTGAAGATCAGGCATCTTCATAAACACAATAGTAACCTAATTTTCTTTGTGACGGCCTGTTTGGTAACTTACCATGTGAAAATACACACTAATTGGCATTGGATGTTTCATGATTACTGAAAAAATAATGTTGAAATATTTGTAATATTGACCTATATTTACGCACTTTAAGACATCCTCCCCTCCACACTTTTTGTTTGATGTCCCCAAAGCCCTGATCCTTATTTGCACCCTGATATTGGTACCACATATAGGCTTATACCATATATTAAGGAACTATAACAACATCACGTGTAGGCCTATATTATGGAAATGCATTATAGAATTAAATATCTCTATTATGTGTGTAAACTAATTAGGTGTCAATGACTTAAACTTAATATGCATGTACCAACATAAAAATAATCTGTGCATGCAATGCATTAACCGCGTCTGTTTGTGGGCGCGAGAATCAGGTTAAATCCATCCAGAGCAGATTTTTGCCTTTAAACCCTTTGGATGATAAAAAAAATGAACCGCCGCAGTTCACTGACGCCATCTTGCTTCTGTCAACTAACATCTTTTCTTACATTCCTTCCAAAATCTCTCCAACCTGAACCAGTACCACAACATTTACGGATTTTAACAATCATGCCCACATAACAAAGCAAATTCCTTCATAAAACACTGTGAATATTAAATGCGCAAAGGCGCCGCGGACGAATGATTTTCCTCTGATGCTCGAATGGTTCAGGAGGGCCGCCGGATTGCTGCCACAGCATTTATTCGCCCAAAATGGAGCACTGCAATCTTGCAAACCAGCCGTAGGTGTTATGTTTCTTTATTTTGTGTGTAAAAATACATTGCAAGTGGTGAGGGACTGCGTTCTTTAAACACATGGCTCCTTGACAAAGAGCTGTCAGTCACTGTGTTTACACCAGCCGCATCTGCATGACACGAGTTAATAATGTTCTTCTGATCCATATTTATTTGCACTAACATAAAAACAGCGACATAAAACCGCCATAGCAACATTTTCCACCGTGCAATTCTTAATCAGCACGTCCTTCGAATGTGTTTTCATATGAAGGTGAGCATATGACTACCAAATATTAAAACAATCAATGCTTTCCTATAAAGATGTCAGACTGATGCACGTCTTTTCTCAATGATATGTATCACTTTAACGCGCTACAGTTCGCCCGTTATGCCTAATATTTGTGTAAACCGGGCGATCCTGCTGCACCAGTAGCCTCCACCCAACACCTTTTTAATTGATTTAAAACACTGATGGCAAAGAAAACCCATTGCATTCAGAAAGAACTATCCTGCTGGAATACGCCACTGACAATACCGCAGCGCTCAAAATGTCTGTCTGCAACCGTGTCAAGCTCTCGCTTTGCGTATTTTTCCTCCTTCGCTCCCAGGCCATCCTTTAAAGCATGGAGGAGAATCAACCTCCTTCTCCATTACACAATCACTATTCTTACCTCGATGGCAAGCGACAGAGTCGTCAGCATTGACAGCAGGAATACCGTACGGTCCATACCCATGGCTGTGTTCCCAAACGTAGCACGTCCTGATGGATAAACGTCCTGAGCGGATCAGGGTTTTTCTGTCGTGATTTTCAGCTCCGTGCTCCTCTATCGTCTGTGCTGGTTGTGCTTTGTGAGAAATGAGAATGCACGACTGCACACAGCTGCTCCAGTGAAAGTCAGCTGACCACACGTCTGGAGAGTGTGGAAGAGAGTGGAGTTGTAGACTGGAGGTGGTCAGTGAGGAAACCGCAGAATTTGACCGATACATTAAAACATTTGAGTGAATGAACAGCAAGCAGGGACAATCGCTAAGCCTTGTGTTCGATTTGTATTAGTGTAACACACCTGTTTATAGCTACTGAAAAAATAATTAGAAATAACTAAAGCCATGTGACCATTGCATGAGTTTAAGTTTTATTAGCTTCACAACCTCTCCCCAGTTAGGTCAAGGATGTCTATAAGTGGGGACACATTACTCCAATCGCTATAGAAATTAATTTGTAATACGTCTAGCTAAAACTTAAGATACAAAATAGGCTACATGCCTGAATTATTTAAATAATAGGACATTGACAAATAATAGGACAAGGCTTCTTTAGCACCATTTTAAACTTGGGGTTAAATTCAGTATTTGCTTGCATTCATTATGTATAGGGGAGCGCGGGGCACAAAGTAACGCGGGGTTAGTTGTAACACACGTGGTTTGAATATTTCCACACATGCTAGCGTCACAAAAGTTGCCATAAAAAAGCTGCCATATCAACACTATATAGAGAGAAAACTGCGCCAAAATTAAAAAAATATTTTGAACATTTATTTTACCATAGTAAAAGTACATTTCTGGCTTAAGTAAAATTTTCATCAGTTTTTAGTATTCATTTAAAATGAGGCAAATCTGCTATTATTTTAATCTCAAATCTGTTATTTATCAGTTTAGATAGTTTTTTAATGCTTCGCTAATAATAGCAGAAGACACTAACCAAGTTTTAATTCCAGTTGCGCAGATGGGGCACGTTGTAACACTGCGTTACAATGCGCTATTATGACATTAGCAATGTAATTTACACAATTTACGTTCATGTATTTTAATGAGAAACCACGAGGAATAGGCGAATAAAGACTGACAGTCAATGTTTAATGCTCAGAAGTGTATTATTTAAAGAAATGTAAAGCATTTTTGCTCGTTTATGTGGGCCATCCCAAGCATGGTTGCAATTTGTTCATTGTCAAACTCCAAAATCAGATCATTTTTCATTCTTAAAAAAACGCCATTATTTTATTTAAAATTTTTTGTAATTTTATTTTATTGACAAAATATTTTAGTTTGTCTTGTAACTTTTTTTCATTAGATCAGATAATATTTTAAGCTGTCATATTACAACGTGCCCCTCAGATGTTACAATGTACCCCACCTACGGGGCATGTTGTCACATTTCACTTGCATTTTTTGAGGGTAAATAAAGAAAAATGCATACACTGTAATTATGAAACAAAGCAACGTATTCATTCATTCAAGTGTAAAATTACCGTGGATAAAAAAAATTATACTATAAACCCCATGTGGATTTACATAAACTGAGAAAATCAAAAAGTGTTACATTGTGCCCCGCTCTCCCCTACTTATATAAGTAATATATAAGGTATATAGGTATGACCTGCAATATTCTAGATACAATTTAGTAAAGAGCCATACAGGTACCTATAGTGGGTTAACCATGGCATTACAATTGAAAATGTTTTTTTTTTCTGACCACAAAATGACTCTAATTTGCCTCTTTGCATATACACCTAGGATGGCTTGAGGGTGAGTAAATCATGGGGTAATTTTCATTTTTGGGTGAACTAACCCTTTAAACAGCCATACAGGCATCTAGTGCTTAAACCATGGCATTACATATTAATATTAATTTTCCAGACACCAAATGACTCTAATTTGCCTCTTTGCATTGGAATTTAAAACCCTTTCTCTATTTTAACCTTAAATACTACACTAATTGTAATATAAGTAATAAAACTACTAGAAAAAATATTTTAAGTCATTAATGGACCATAATTATTGCACAAATAGTATTTAGTACCAAAATATCTCCTTAAAATATTAAATAAATATTATTGAACTAAAATATAGAACATGTATTTAACTGAAAAAGAGTTAAGCTGTATGGTCACATTATAAGTAAGCAATACCTGAGGTTTAAATACAAGAAAACATTACATTTACATTTAGACATTTAGCAGACGCTTTTATCCAAAGCGACTTACAAATGAGGACAATGC